CCCACTTTCTCCATAAAGTCGGCCAGCTGCTGGCCCCTTCGGTTCCGTTGCCCTACTCCAAATTTCCCTAACTTCAGCTCACCGTTTTCTTTTGTGCCTAGTTTTGTGTTGAAGTCTCCCATCAACACCGTGTAGTGGGTTTTGGAGGAATGCATGGCTTTGGAAATATCCTCATACATTTCCTCCACCTCCTCATCGGAATGTGCCGAGGTTGGTGCGTAAACCTATATGACCTTCAGCGAATACCGTTTGGTGATTCTGAGTATCAGGTACGCGACCCTCGTCGACACACTCCCAATCTTTACAACGTTGTTGACGAGAGACTTGTGGACGATAAATCCGACACCTCCTTGGGACAGATTGTCGCCCTCCCGGTGATAGAACAAGTTGCCGGATTCGAGAATCACCGTGTCCTCCCCCTCTCTTCGGACCTCGGATAATCCTATAATACCCCAGCGCAACTTGTCTATCTCTTCTTCCAGCTCCAGGATCTTCTCGTCAGTCCTCAGTGTGCGTGCGTTAAATGTTGCCAGGTCGAGTCGTCGTAGGTGGCAACCGAACCTCCACCGGAGATTCTTAGCACCCCCTGCCCCGCCGTTACCATGGTCGCCACCGTAGCCAGGAATAGCGGGGCCGCTGGGGACTGGGGGCCGTCTATTTGTGTAATTGTTCATGGGGGGGATATATTGCCATAGTTGCCACGCTTGGCGAGCGGGTTGGCAACCGCAGTTTTTTTTGTCGTACAGTCTATTATCAGGAAGATGCTGCTGCCCATCTCCTGCCTGTTTCCCTCTGTCGCCTTTTACGACACCCACGGGAAGATATGGGGTTGTGGATATTCTTAACCGCCACTACACGGCAAATATATATATATATATATATATATATATATATATATATATATATATATATATATATATATATATATATATGTAGATATATTCATATTTAAACAAACATTAATACATACATAAATACTTAATATAATATAAAGTCATAATTAAATATATAAACATATATACACACACACTACATACATATATGTACATGCATGTACCAGTATAGTAAATATCAGAGATTTGAGACTTACACAGAAGACAGCGATAAATAATGTTCTTTCACTCGTTTTTTGAACAACGTCACTGTTTTGATTTCTCGAATTTGAGTAGGAAGCGAATTCCAGAGTCTTACTGCTTGTACGGAGAATGAACAGGAATATGAATGAGTATTAAAGTATGGGAATTTTAAGAGAGTTTTAAGGTGAGATCTACAAACTGTATCTGGGGATTTAAGAAAGGTAAATCGATGTCGTAGGTATGTAGGGATGTTTGGGCTATGTAGGATGTTAAAAAGGAGACAAAGGATATGAGTGTTCCTGCGAAATCGGATCGGGAGCCACTTGAGTTCCTTTCTAAATTTAGAGACGTGATCAAACTTCTCGAGTCCAAAAATATACCGAATGCAAAGGTTTTGTAATCGCTCAAGTTTGTTTAATTGCTCCTCTGTGGCATCCAAAAAACAGACATCAGCGTAATCTAAGATAGGCAAAATAAGGGTTTGATCAAGAGAGATTTTCGTTGATAAGGGTAAAAAACTTTGAAGACGTTTTAATGAGTGGAAAGCATAATAAACTTTTCTACCTAAGTCCATTATGTGAGGACCCCATGACAACCTATTGTCAATAATTAAGCCCAAGTTATTCACAGATTCAGTATAAGTAATTGATGTGCCATTGATAATCACATCTGGCATGGTGCATTTATCAATTAAGCTACTAGTATATCTGCTACTTACTATTATTGCTTGAGACTTACTTGGATTAATAGTTATACCATGTGATCTGGACCAACGACTGATTCTCTTCAAGTCATCATTCAGTGCTTCTATCGCCAATTTAGCTTCAGATGCCACAAAGTGACGGTAAAGCTGCAAATCGTCTGCATAAAGATGGAAGTTGGAGGATATTATTTTTGTTATAGAATTGATAAAAACGGTGAAGAGCAAAGGAGACAAGACGCTACCCTGGGGTACACCCGCTATAAGATTACACCAGTTGGAATAAGTGTCATTGGAACGGATACATTGTGAGCGACCCCGAAGATAGGAACCAAACCAGAGAATGGCCGAAGGTGAAAAATTAATAGACTGGAGATTTTTTAAGAGGATATCAAAGTCAACAGAATTAAAGGCACTGCTGAAATCTAATAAAACGAGTACGGTTAATTGTTTTTTATCTATGGCTCTACGGATATCATCAGTTACCTGAAGAAGAGCAGTTGTTGTACTATGACCGGGCCGGAATCCAGATTGAAATAAACTTAAAATATTGTTAGAATTAAGGTAAAAAGACAATTGATTGTGAACAATATGTTCAAGTACTTTAGAGAGGAATGGTAATATAGATATAGGTCGAAATTCGGAATGTAATGTAGGGTTAGCAACCTTGGCTATTGGAATAATTTGTGCTAACTTCCACGAGTGTGGAAAACAGGAGAAAGATAATGAAAAATTAAATATTTGAGTAAGAACTGGGAGAATACAAGGTAAAATCATAGTTATCATTGTGGAAGAAATTTTGTCATTTCCCGTTGCAGTAGAAGATATAGATAGCACTGATCGTTTTACTTCATCTTCTGACACTGATACAAATTCAAACTGGCTGGAATGTTGCAATGGGCATCTGGATAATTCTAGCAGGGTCTTAGCTTTTATAAATGAAGATAAGGAAACAGGTGGTAGAGAAAAATATTGATTGAGAATATCTATATCAAGATTTCCAATCCCAAGCGCAGGGTGTTTGCCAATGCCGACTGTTTTAAGAAAACTCCAGGCTTTTGCTGAATCGCTTGAGAGTCATAAAAGTAGCGCCTTTTAGCATCTCTACACAAACGATTGCAGCGGTTACGCAGACTCTTAAACTTTTTTAGATTTCTTTCCAAGGGACAATGTTTATATCTACTTCTGGCTTTATCCCTACGCGCCATAAGCTCTTTTATCTAAGTTGTAATCCAGGGCGCATGACAATGTTTTATTTTTATACGTTTGACAGGTGCATGGCAATCGTACAAACTAAGAATTAAAGCGGTAAAATTGTTAACCATATCATCAATATTTATATATATTTGTCCATGATTTGCAACGTTATTTAAAGATGAAACAATGATAAGGTCAAGTAAGGATGGAGTGCAGTATGGAAAATGATGGGTGGCAAAGAGGGGTAAAATTTGTAGGTTACGTGAGGACACAATTGACTTCAGCTTAAGTGCACGTGAATCGTCCTTCAGTAAGCACGTATTGAAATCTCCCATCACGATTACATGACTATATATAGGACACAAGTCTGTAAGTAAATTTTCAAATACATCAAAATAATTAATTTGCATATTAGGGTTGTATATCACACCAAGAAGGATTTTTGTATGATGAAGTGTAACTTCAAGAAAAAGGTACTCAGCAGATTCAGAATAAGTCGACGGGGAAGCAGAGATATGTTTGTATGGGATTTCAGAACGCAAGTAAATAGCTACACCACCTCCTCCTTTATCAGTCCTATCATTACGTATCAAAATGTAACCAGGAAGTGAAAACTGAAAAAAAGGGAGAGAAGGCTTGAAAAAAGTTTCAGATATAAAAAGTGCGTCAATTAGATTACTGCTAATGGATGCAAGAAGGTCAGGATAGTGGGCAGGAACACTTTGTGCGTTTATATGGGCAACGTTAAAATTATTGGGATAGGGAGAAAAAAATAGCAGAAATATGATCATGCAGTCCAAGATGATCGGCATCCGCGCTGAAATGTAGAAGATAAATTACACGAGAAAAAACTAGCATCAAAATCAGATGGACTTTCCATAATTATAACAATAAAAATAAAAAGTAAAAACTACAAAATTATAATAAAAATAACTTAATAATAAAATATATAAAGCAATATCCTAAAATAAAAATAAATAAATTTTAAAGAGAAAATATACCTAACTTATAATTAAAAAATAAAACGTAAATAAATATAAAAACAACTCAGCTCAACTCACTAGCGCAATGGAATTATTTTTAACTAAGTCTATGTATACATAATATATTAAAACTAGAAGAAGAAAAACAAAAATACTAATTGCAATACAAAATTAAGAAAGTAAAAGCGGAACATTATTTTAAACAGCGTATAAGTAAACATTACAAATAATCTTTAAAAATGAGGTAAGTAGTAAAATCTTAATAAGTTAGTTTTGTTTGCTTTCATTGCAATAAAAAATTTCTCGCAGGGTGCACCTTGATAACATTGTTTGTGCATTGTTTGTGACGTGTATGCGTTCCGACGAAGTTAGTTCTCTTCACTTTTATGAAATAATAATTAGTTATAGAAAACAATACTACTATATTCAATTATTTATGCGTCGGCGTGATTTCTTCGGGGCGTTAACAGTTGTTGATATTCTATTAGCGGACTGTGATGCGTTATCGTTAGTAGCGGAGCTAGAAGGATATTTCACGATGAGTAGTTCCAATTCAGCAACGTTTCAATTGTTTGTCGGGTTTTATCGGGGAGGATTATAACAATTTTTCCTTCAGAAGACCAGCAGTGCTTAATTCCAAAGTGCTTACGTGCTGTAGTAAATGTGTGATGCCTGGTTTTCGTAAAAAATTCTGAGATGGTGATACTGGAGCCTTTTAAATTGGCTTTGTTATCCCAAATAAACCGCCTCTGCTCAGAATAAAAAAACCGAACAAAAACTGGTCGTGTCTTATTTAGAGATGATCCAAGCCGATGACAAACTTTAATACAATCCTTTTCTATATCTGTCAGCTTTAATTGTTTGGATATTATATTTAAAATAACTTCACGGTGGTTTTCATTTTGCTCTTCGGCAATGCCACGAAACAATAGAACTTTATTTCGCATCACCGTTTCATGTCTATCAAGGCCGAGACATAGTAAATTTATTTGTGTTTTAATTGTAGAAAGAGTTTGCCAAAAAAATGATTAACAGAGAACTCACGAGACAATGAAGTTATGTCAGGATTCGATGAACTGCTCTCGGTATTGACTTTTAGCAGCTTCTTTTCATATTCCCGCATTCGAGACCCGAACATCATCTATCTTCTTTTGAACTTGATATCTTTTTAAATTATTAACATTATTTTGTATTGCAAGAAGACACAGCGCGGACGCTGTAATTATTTCGACGTCTGCCATAGTCGAAAGCCGAAACTGATGTGAGTGGTAGGGAGAGTGTAAATACACACTTCTATTTCGATTGCGATACTGCAAAGTGTTTCGAAACAGCGGTTCGTAGTCAAACGGACATGCCTAAATACGACGAATTTGTCAAGTTCTTACGAGAACAGGTAAAAAATTTGTGTCGAACCAGCACTTTGTCACAGACTCGTGGCAGTTCCATGGCACCGCATCCCTACTCGGGTAGTCGCCCATCTAGCTCACGGATTTTAACCGTGCCGCCACGCGCCTTAGTTTCCACGCAGCAGACCCAAGTTCGTATTAGGCTATGTAAGCTTTGCAACAACACGGCGCATACGCATCTCTATGCATGTAAACCTTTTGCTAACCTTTCGGCTGCCGACAAATTTAAATTCGTTAAAGACAATCGTTACTGCGTTAATTGTTTGAGTAACCAACATACCTCTTTTTATTGCAACTCAAACACTTCTTGCCGCAAGTTGTATACACTTGTAACGCCAGACATCACACGTTGCTTCATTTTGGAAACGACCCATTTCCAGCGTAGTCGTGCGCCGCCACTGTAGCCATAAACGAGGAACATGATACTAGTGAAATACTGAACTCACTAGAACTTGAAGAAGAGTCTTCCTCTGATCAAGTGCTTGACGGTTATTTGGTTGGAGAAGGAAATCCAGAAGTATCGTACTGTTCGCTGTCTTCTACAAAATGTGATTCATCATCAACAACGCAAGTTCTCGCAACCGCAAAGGTTTATGCCACGGGTCGCAATGGTCGCGATGTAATAGTTAGATGTTTACTGGATCCTGGTTCCCAGAGACATTATGTAACAACAAAATGTTGTTCAAAACTACAGCTAAAGGTCGAATCTAATTCACCTGTAACGGTGAAGGGAATAGTGGGCTCATCGCAGATAGTCAAATGGACGGCAAATGTTTCTTTTCGATCTCGATTCAATAATACAAAATTTAATATTCAGGCTCTAATGTTAAATCGAATCACTAGTAATTTACCAACGTGTAACATCAATACTAGATTCCTTGAAAATCTGTGTAGTATTCCCATGGCGAACGATGGCTGGGGTATGCCTGGAGAAATAGATTTATTAATAGGTGTAAGTCTTTTTGCGGAGATGCTACGACCTGGTAGAATTATCGGGGAACCCGGTTCTCCGGACGCTCTTGAGACCGTTTTAGGATACATCGTTCTAGGAGATGCTCCAGCGGTTATCCAGGCTCAAGCCCCAGCCACCGTAGCGTTTCATGCTATTTCAACATCTGAGGTCGAGACTCTAGTTAAGAAAATGTGGGAACTCGATGAAATTGATCCTAAGCATATCTTTAGTGCTGATGATAAAACATGCGAAGAAAATTATAGTAAGACTGTCACGCGTGCCGCTTCCGGACGCTACGAAGTAGCTTTACCTTTCAAATTCAGTCCAGATTTTCTTGGTAATTCTTTGGAAGTTGCTAGGCGTAGATTTTTACATTTAGAGCGCAGGTTTGCTGCTCAGCCCGCTCTAAGAGAGGCGTATGACAGTGTACTTAAGGATTATATAGATCAAAGTTATTTATCTCCTATTGATACAGCCGATAAAGATCCTCTACACTTTTACATACCACCACGCGGTTCTTAGGGAGGATAAACTATCAACACGGATCCGACCTGTCCTGGATGCAAGTGCTAAGTCTAGTAGCGGATTCTCCTTAAATGTCCTTTTATATGCCGGTCCTAATCTTTAACGCGACCTTTTTACAATCTTAATGAATATGAGACTATTACCTGTTGCCATCACAGCCGACGTAAGACAGATGTATCTTAGGATAGGCGTCCGTAAGCAGGATCGACGTTTTCAGCGTATCTTATATCGCTACAGTCGGGATGACAATTAAAAGGTGGTTCAGATATTCAAAATCCAATAAAATCATTTGAATTCAATAGAGTAGCCTTTGGACTAAAGTGTAGCCCATTTTTAGCTCTTTGCACTGTCTCGCAACTAGTACATGATGAGGGTCATCGTTTTCCTATAGGTAAAGAAGTTGCGCAGAGAGATCTTTACATGGACGATATAGCTAGCTCATTGATGAATTCCGATCAAGCTATTTCTGCCTTTCAAGAGTTCGTCGGGGTATTCAAGGCTGGGGGCTTCCACCTAGTCAAATGGAGTAGCAATACCACAAGGGTGCTTGAACATATTCCTGAAGATTATCGTTTGTCGCAAAATGTCGAATTTCACAAGGACGATACCTTGAAAATATTAGGTCTTTACTGGCGTCCTCGTGATGATGAGTTCGCCTTCGAGGTGATTTCAGATGATCGCCCTTGCACTAAGAGAAACATTTTGTCCTCTGTCGCACGTTTGTTTGATGTTTTGGGCTTGGTAGCACCTGTAATCTTGTATGCCAAGCTTTTAATCAAGGAGCTCTGGATTGCTAAAATAGACTAGGACGCTAATCCCCCACAACGTATTTATTTATTTATTATGACACATCAACAGCATAACACACAATACATTTATATTCAAATCTTACATAAAACAAAGGCCTGGTATGTACGCCAATAAAGACGTGTACAACATTCTCTTAATCTAAGACATGTTATTATCAATACGAATATTAGAAAACAAAAAAAAAGCACAAAAATAGTACGCAGATTATCAAAATAATTTTACAAAATTTTAAGAAATTTTAAGAACCTGCTTAGAGAGCAGGTACACAGATAACTTCTTTCTCAAACTAATGCATGAGTCATGAAAAATATCAATGTCAACAAATACACATACCCGGTTGTATTCGGCGCAAATTTTTGATATAGGCGAATTTTTTAAGAGGTTTGTTCTACTGGCAGGGATGTAAAAATTTTTAGTAATAGGATGGCGTGGATAGTTGCATGGGATATTAAGATTAATGCACTGAAGTAGGTTATTACGATCCACGGCACCAGAAATTATTTTTTTTTAAAAACAATATATTCAAAAATACACGACGGTTACAAAGTGACATCATTGCGAAATGTTTGAAGACGAACGTTATAGGTGTTACGGTGGGAAATGCCCGAAGAATGGAACGCAAGATGTCTAGTAAATGAACGCTGTATGCTTTCAATGCGTTGGGAATAAGTGATAAACTGAGGACCCCAAACCACCGATGCAAACTCTAGGTGACTTCGAACCAAGGCGTTATATAAAATTATTTTGGTTTTGGCTGACATAAAACCTTTAGCATTTCGTTTTAGGAAGCCAAGCATTCTTCCCGCTTTTTGGACGGTAGCGTCAATGTGAGACTTAAAATTTAATTTGCTATCCACTATTACGCCTAAATCTCGAACTTCTTAAACCTGCTCCGGGGTATCAGAGTTCATCTTATAGGAGGACATGAAAGGTATAAACTTTCTTGAGAATTTAATATGATATGATTTTTTAGTATTAAGTATCATACCATTTAATTGACACCATGTACTAATTCTGTTTAAATCACTTTGGATGAGTTGCACGTCTACTGTAGATTTTACTGTTTTGTATATTTTTAAATCGTCAGCAAAAAGACAGAATTCAGAGTTGCGTATTTCAAAAGTTATATCATTGATAAAGGCAGCAAAAAGGACTGGACCCAGATGCGACCCTTGCGGGACGCCTGAGAACGCTATATAACTTTCTGATTTGTAACCATTCACTACCACAAACTGGAGTCTTTTTTCTAAATAAGACTGGAACCATTCTAGCAAAGATCCACATACCCCATATCTTTTTAGCTTGTTAATTAAGCGGGAGTGACAGACTTTATCGAATGCACTAGAAAAATCCATATATATAGCATCAACTTCCTGTCCTTTGTCAATTTCTTTACAGAGATATGACATAAATGATACAAGGTTAGTTTCAATCGAATGGCCCTTCCTGAACCCATGTTGATGGTCTGATATACATGTGCTTAAGTGACGCGTAATAATTGGACATATCAAGGATTCAAACAATTTAGGAATACATGAAATAATTGAAATCGGTCTGTAGTTACTAACGTCATTAATGACGCCTTTTTTAAATATCGGAACGATCTTTGAATTTTTCCAAATATCAGGAAATATTCCATCACGCAAAGATTGATTGAAAATAATAGCCAGTGGTAACGCTAAGGCCGAGATACAACGTTTGACGAACACAGGGGGAATCTCATCTGGGCCAGCTCCCTTGAAAATGTCAAGCTTTTTGACTGCACCTATAATGTCTCTTTCAGTTAATTTTACAGAATTTAAACATGAATTATTGAACATAGATACGTCACCGCCGTCGTTTGCAGCCACTTTACTAAAAACAGATGAAAATTTGTTTGCAAACATTTGGGCAATATCTGCTCCGGTGTTTAATTCCGGTGCTCGACCTGATCAGCATGATACATTATAGCTGGGATATTGGATACACCATTGCGCCTGTCCTTCATAAAACGCCAAAAAGCTTTTTGGATTTTTAGAAATATCGCTTTCAATTCTTTTTTTAAAATTAAAAAGGCATTGACTGCTTACATTATGAGCACGTTCGCGAAGAAGCTCGTATTCTAGTTGATCACGAGGGTTCTTATATTTCAAATATTTTAATCTTTTTTTTTTTGCTTTTCTCAGAAATTATTTTAATTAGGGAATTGCTAAACCACGAAGGAAATTTAGTTAGTTTAGGTCTTGTTTTAGAAATATAGGATGTTACGGCTATATTTAAAAAGTGGTAAAATATATTAGTCATTTCGTTAACATTTTGACATTTTTCTAGCTCCACTTGCCAGCTAATGCTCTTCAAGTAAGATAAAATATTGCCATAGTCTGCTCTAAAGTAGTTGTAACGATGGCTTATTATCGGCTTGAGGTACCCGGAAGCAAATTTTGGGATCGATATCAAAATTGGAGGATGTTTTTGATCTACTTTGCTAAGCATACTTATAGATTTAGTAACATTTAAACAATCAACATTGGATAGAACTAGATCTAGTATTCTACCATCAACATTAGACACATCGTTCATTTGCGATAATTTATTGACAGCCATAAAGTCAATAAGAGAGAGTCCTAGTTTCGAACCATAATTTGTTGCAATACATTGGTCACTATCCGACTTACGGGACCAATCAATAAAACCTGAGTTAAAGTCGCCCAATATTATGACTTTATCTGATATATCTATGATATCAGTAGAGTTTTCTAAAAAGCTAGATAAAGATTCAGAAGAAACAGGAGGAGGTAAGTAAACGGCACAGATAGAAATTTTTTGGAGTGTGTGGTTAGTTTTAACATCAATAGATACCCATAAATCTTCTGATATCTATGATATCAGTAGAGTTTTCTAAAAAGCTAGGTAAAGATTCAGAAGAAACAGGATGAGGTAAGTAAACGGCACAGATAGAAATTTTTTGGAGTGTGTGGTTAGTTTTAACATCAATAGATACCCATAAATCTTCTGCATTACTTTCCCAATTTGATTGTCGAGAAGAAGGAATATTTTTAGACACTGCAACCATCACACCTCCTCCGACTTTCTTTGAACTTCTTGAGCATGATCTATCCTTTCTATATACAACGTAACGTTTATCTATAAATTCACTGTTCATTATATTACTATTCAACCATGTTTCAGTAAATACAATTAAGCTATAATTATTCGTAAGTATATTTTTAAGAACATCCTCCGTTTTAGTCCTCAAACCTTTTTGAAGTATAATCTATCGTAACATTGAGATTCTAACACTAGACAATTAGTTTCAAGCTTTCTTCATGTTTAATATAGATGGCATGACTCTGTTCATGTTTCCGAACAAAGATCCTACCGTCTCGCACCCAAACAAATTTGGCGCCGGTCTCTTTTGCTTTTTTTCGAGCTGCCGCATGTAGGTGCTTATTTTTCGGTGTTAAATGTTCGCTAACATATACAGGCACTCGACGTCCACCAATTCCCAAATGCTCAGAGTTTATTTATTTATTTATTCTTTATTGTACACACAATAAGTTGGTAACAATTATTAAATATTTAAATAAATGTACAAAGGCGAGGTTAACCCTAATAAGAGTTCTCTTCCAGCAAACCTATTGAGAAAGAGAAATAGTTTTATATATAAAGCAAGTAGGTAGCAGCGTGCGTACTTAATAATTAACATAACGCTACTTAATAGAAATTGGCTATTAGTTACAGTTAACAATTAACTTATAAGTGTATAACATATAAGTATAATTTATTTTCTTATTTCTTTTATTCTTATTTCTATTAATTTACATACATATATACCAATAAAGATAATAAATATAAACATATATACACATATACACACACATATATACATATATATACATATATATATACATACATATACATACACATATACATATATATACAATTATACATATAAATACATAAAATATGTAAATATTTATAATTCTAAGTTGACAGATAACATTTCTTTACTCTGCTCCGAAATATATCAAGAGAAGAGCTAGCACGTATGTCATGTGGAAGTGAGTTCCATAGCTTGACCGCCCTTACAGTAAAGGATCCACCACAACGGCTTGTGAAATGAAAAGGAGTTTTGAGAAGTAGTTGTTTAGTGGTCCGGCACTGAGTTTCACGAGGTACAAGATACTCAAAACGTTCGCGGAGATATGGAGGTGCAAGAGGATTAAGAGTAGAAAGTATAGAAATGATAACACATGTAAGTCTCGACGTCTACGGATAGGAAGCCATTTTAATTGAGCCCTGTACTCTGAAACATGATCAAACTTACAAAGACCGAAAATAAAACGTATACACAAATTTTGAACACGTTCCAGTTTGTTCAACAGCTCCTCTGAAGCATCCAAAAACTAACATCAGCGTAGTAAATGAGAGGAAGAAGAAGTGCTTGAACTAAGGTTATCTTAGTTTTTAACGGTAAAAACATCTGGAGACGCTTGAGAGATTGAAAAGAGTAGTTCACTTTTCTGCTAATCATATTAATGTGAGCGACCCAAGACAAATTATTATCAAAAATAACACCTAAGTTCTTAGCGGTCTCTGTATATGGAATTTGAGTATTATCATACGTTACTGCAGGGATCTTCAAACGATCTAATAAATTAAGCATATATGAGCTGCCGATAATCATTACTTGGGATTTAGCAGGGTTAACAAGAAGACCAAACGATTTTGCCCAACTGCTTATGCTACTTAAGTCAGCATTCAGCTTATTAATAGCCTCATCTATATCTTGGACTTTGAAATGACGGTATAATTGCAAGTCATCAGCATAGAGATGATAATGAGAGGAGAGAACAGTAGTGAGAGCATTAATAAAAATAGAGAAGAGAAGTGGGGAAAGAACACCACCCTGAGGAACACCCGCCGTAAGATCACACCACTCGGAGTAATACTCCTCATGGCGGACACACTGCGAGCGACCCCTAAGGTAAGAATTAAACCAAGAGATTACTGATGGCGAAATGTTTAAGGACGCAAGAATACCAAGAAGTATGTCATAATCAACGGAATTAAATGCACTGCTGAAATCCAATAATGTTAAAACAGTGAGAAGTCTTTTGTCCATGGCCCAGCGCATATCATCAGACACTTTAATCAGAGCGCTGACTGTGCTATGGGTTTGATTTGTTATCAGGATTCTTTTTATTAAACTTTGTTACTGCTGCTTACAACTGATCGCGACGGCGTTAACTACGAAGTTTGACAATTACGGAGCGGGGTCGGTCGCTCTCCTTATTGAACTTCGCAATACGGGATACGTGCACAACATCATTGTCACCGAGGGGATTTTCAATCGCAAATCCCAGCTGCTCTATAGTTTTTAGAAGATTTTCCGATTTATGCTCTGGGATCCCATTGATTTCGACGTTAGGAGCACGCATGTTTTGCTCTATTTGCTCTATCCTCTCTGTCATACTCCTTAACTGCGACGATAGATTACCATTTTTTTGAATTAAACTCTGTATTACTTCGTTTCTTTCCTTCACAGTTTGCATAAGTTCGTCATATTGTTTACTAAAGAATGCTAGAGATTCGTGGAACCTGAGACGCGATATTTGCTAGGTGTTCAGAAACCAATTGCTTGATGGTGTCAGTTATCTCCCCTGCTTTATTATTGAACGTAACGAATCTTCTTTAATGTAGGAATCGTTGCTATCGGATTTAGAGCGCTGTTTTTTTGTCCGTACAGTAATATTACTCCTCTTCAACATTGGTATCATCGCCAGATACCATGGGACGATATGTTGTGCGCACAGGTGCATTTGTATTATCGGATTTGGGTTGTTTACTAGAGCATTCCTGACATCTCCAATTATTTTTCCGCTCTTGATCCATAAGGTAGAAGCATTTAGGTGTTGTATTAGCACAGAATAAATCTTACCCGAGATTACACGTGACACATACCATATGTTCCCTTTTTGGCAAATTGTTTTTACAGCCAGAACACTTCTTTGTGGTAGAAGACATTTTTTAGAAAAAATATATCAGAAAACGGAATAATATTTTAAAACGTCTGATATTAATGAAAAAAAAAATTTAAAAATAAAATAAAGGGGAAAAAGTTTGTTCGGTCGGGATCGATCTTCCAACCTTCACTCTATGAGTAATACGATTGCACCGCTACACCACGCCGTCAACGACGATGCGCCTGAATTTTAAGAATGGTTCTAACTATGGTCAAGCACTCCTTGCTACAAGCTTATCGCGTCTAGTGAGTCCAAAGGCCAATCTTTTGTACTACATGCAGTGAATAGTTTTACCAACAGAATATTTTAAAACAATTTTTGGTTTTATTCACTTGTTTACACAACAATTAGCTATAACTTTTGCACAGATTCACCAACTTTAATACACTAAACACGGTGGTATAACTCAAAGAAAGACCTAAACAGTTTTTGCACATTAATTAGATTAAAATCGCTCCGAATTACAATAACACGTCTATATCAACACACGCCCATAGTTGATTTATTTTCATTACACGACTGTGGAATAAATTCCGACGGGAACTTCCCCTGCTTGCCCAGATGAAATTTCCTCGGCACCTTGGAGTGGTTCATGGCTGTTCGGTAACAATTCTGAGTTTTCGCTGACGCGAGTGAAAAGGCTTATGGTGCCGCAGTTTATATTCGAGTAGACGTCAAATAAAATCAGACAACTGTCATTTTGTCTTGCGCAAAGTCAAAGGTTGCGTCCTTGAAAGTTGTTTCATTGGCACGTCTGGAATTATGTGCAGCCTTGTTGCTTTCTAAATTAATAAAAAGGGTTTTTGAAATATATTCGAGTAGATACCCAATTAATTCGGTTTTAGCATTTTCAGACTCGACCGTAGTGTTAAATTGGATTCATTCTTCTCCGCACCGATGGCACACGTTTGTTGCCAATAGAGTATCCAAAATCCAGGACAACTTACCATCGGATCACTTTTACCACATCAAAGGTAATGAATCCCCCCCGAACGGGTTCCCGCCTTGTCGTGGCGGGGGGCTTAGTAGCCGTGGCTTGGTCTCCCACGGTGAACAAAGAGGAACCCACGTGGCTGGCCCGAGGTGAAGGGCCGGCCTGAGGTGGCCGCTCCGAGTGGGCTTGGGGAGCCCACTTCGGATGTGTGCTGGTGGACTGCAGCGAGTGGGGACTCGCGCACCCTCTACCGCTGCAGCCGAGGTGGAGTCGCGGAGGAAGAGGAGTGTTGGTATGGCGATGCGCCACTCGCCCTATCCTTCGCGACTCATACGGGGCCGCACCGTTGATGCGGTGGTGGTGGGGCTGCGGGGGGAGAGGATTGTCGGTATTGCGAGGCGCCGCTCTCCTACCCTCCGCAGCCGAATCTTGGTTGGCGGCGGAGCCATAGACCAGATCCGCCGCTGGGGTCGGGAAGGCTAGTACTTCTAAGTGCTCGTTTTTCCTGGCCCCATGGCCTTTGTGCATCGGACGCGGGGGCGTCTGTTGCACAGACGTAGTTGGAGGCCGTGGAGGAAGGCGCGCCATATGTTCTGGTGCGCCTTACCTGGGAAGGAGAACGGGGAGGAATTTTCCTCTCCCGAGGAGGTGCTGCCATGGGGCGGCAGTCGCTGGTAGGGCCGCGGATGTGTGCGAAAGCGTTCCCGTAGCCCTGCCAATATGCGACAAAGGTGGAACACCATGGGGTTTTAGTCGGTGCGAGTCCGACATAACCCGTCCTTGCCCCCCGCAGGCGGGTATGCGATAGGCATTTCCCCATGCAAAAAAAAAAAGGGTAATGAAAACCCGTGCGATTGTTTGTCCCGTGGATTAACTCCTACACAACTTATGAATCACCCCGTGGCTACAGGGGCCTCCTTGGGCCAATTTACCTAAAGTCAAATGGCCAATAAAAACGTTTGTGCCAAAGGAATCTTCCGACGCGCCGGAGATTTCCCTAGTAGTAGTAGTAATAAAACCAACCGAAGAACCTTTTCTGTATAAGTTAGCACGTAATTACTCTTCGTGGCAACGGTTTCTTAACGTGGCGAGCTACATATACAAGTTTATAAGGAAGCTGCCCCTGGGACCCATAGTTAAGTCAGATTTGGAATTTACGGAATTAGAAATTATGAAGGTAATACAGTCGATACATTTTAGTGATGACCTTCAACGTTTGGAGAAAGGGGGATGTCGTTCTTCATCTATGTATTAAAAAATTAAATCCATTTCTTAAGGATGGCGTATTACGCGTGGGTGGCCGTTTGGCAAACTCAGAGGAGAGTTTCTATTTTAAATATCCTATTCTTCTTCCTTTTAAGGATTATGTGGTAGACTTGCTCATACGCTCATACCACTGCAAATATTTACATACAGGACCAGGGTTGCTATCTTCTGTACTCCGTGTTAAATACTGGATACTATCTGGTAGACGTGCAATTAGAGCCATCATCTCTAAATGCAAGGTATGTTTTCGATCTAAACCTCAACCTGGGTTCCCTATAATGGCGGACCTCCCTGAACCTCGAGTGCGAGCGGTTGTCAAAGCCTTCGTCCATACTGAATGCGATTATGCCGGCCCAGTCCTAGTAACACCATATCGTAGTAAAGGTATAAAAAGCCGTAAGGCTTACATCTGCCTGTTTACATGCCTTACTACACGAGCGGTGCATATTGAGCTCGCAAGCGATCTCAGCACAACTTGCTTCTTGGCAGCCATGAAGCGATTCCTAGCTAGACGAGGATCGGTTCAATGTTTTTATACTGATAACGGAACCAATTTTATTGGTGCCCGGTCTTATCTTCGAGATTTGTACGCTTTTCTAAAGAATGAATATAAACCAGTGTGGGAAAAGCAGTTAGCAGAAAGTCATATCCAATGGAAACTGATTCCTTCTAATGCTCCACACTTCGGTGGTTGCTGGGAAAGTAACATCAAGTGTATAAAAACCCATTTATATAGAGTTATCGGCCAACAAATTTTTACCTTTGAGGAGCTTCAAACCGTTTTAAGCCAGATTGAATCCATATTAAATTCACGACCACTTACAGTGCTCAGCTCTGATCCTTCAGATCCAGCAGCTTTGACGCCAGCTCATTTTTTACATACCGTCCCGCTTGATTTCCTGCTAGCACCTGATATTGATGATTCGATTCTGCATCTTCTAACTCGATATGAGCTCTTAGACAAGTTGGTACAGTCATTCTGGATGCGATGGCGGAGAGAGTATCTTCATAGCCTACAAACCCGCCAAAAGTGGAATTCACCATCATTCCCAGTTAAGGAAGGAACGGTTGTTGTAGTAATACAGGATAACATCACACCCTTACATTGGCCCTTAGGCATTATAACACAAACCTTTAAAGGTAGGATGACGTTATACGTGTAGCAATGGTAAGGACTAAGCACGGTACTTACCAATGACCAGTGGTAAAATTGTATCCATTACCAACTCAGTAAAATTCATAAATTATTTAGGTAAAGGGTAGATTAGCTTCTAGATAATAAGTCATAGATAAGATAATGGGATTAAGTAGACATAAGTAGTTAACAAACATTCTTTAGTATGTTGTAATAGGGTTCCTAGAAGTAAGAATAGATTAATTTACTCGATAAAGATGATTACACCTTTGAAAGCTTCCCTTTCAAGGCCGGGAGGAATAGTTCAGCCAGTTTAATAAATAGCCGAAATTTGTTTGTTTATTGCGCTGAATACTCGCTACCGTTACACCAATGTTACTTTGGTTTGGATGTCCGTGTATTTGTCGACGTGATTCTTGCTTACTATTGGTCCGTTAAAATTACGGACATCTTGTCGTCACGTGATCAACATATGTCAACGCCGCGCGTAGTGTGAAAGGGGCACGTTTTTCGCTGCTCCCAAAATATATGTTCTACCGCAAGTTCCTCCCCGAATTGGATCATCGTGAGTGACCGAAATCCGTGTAGCTGGGATCCCCGAAGAAGCACACGAGAGCAGGAGCATCCGCCTCCGTATATTCAGGTACGTCAGACCTTAGTAATATTGTCTAGTCAACGGTGTAGAGTAGAATCAGCTAGCGTCTATGCAAATTACAGTCCATATCCCAGTTTCCACCACCGTATTTACGTGATTATAAAATGTGATGATTTCATGTTTTCTAGCATCGCCAGTCGCAGCATCTATTTTGTCATCATTGTAGAGGGTAGACAATAACAATACCCGCTCCAAATGTCGTCGTATTCATTATCCTCCAGCAGCCATCTTTGTATTTAGTCGCACAATCTGATCGAGTTACTAGTCACCTAAAAAAGTGAACAAAACAGTATAAAGCTACATGAAAAATCTACAAATATCAACAACATACACTTAAAAATTAATTAACTGTACATTTTGTAGTAATACTGGAAGAAATGTGTCATATTTACCTCAATTTCATCACTTGAACATTAAACACTTATTTTCCTCCAACGCTCGCGCGGGCTACAGGCGTAGCCCACCAACTTCAAGGACGATTTTTGCGGACATCCTTGAGCCACGGGAGTCGGCACGCTGCTGGCGGTAGCGGGGGGAAT